CGTGTCGTGTAGTGATTCGATATATCAAATAAGTCGATAGCGTATAATAACGGACGATGCGCGGCCGCGAGTTCAGCGCGCAGCCGGGAGTCGGTGCGCAGTCGTGCCGTTACATTATATCCGTGATTCTACGTCGCAGTGGTGCTCGAACTTGGTGAATTCCGGCCCCCTCCCGGGCTACCCCAACCTAGTTACATCCGTCCCCAACGGCGCAGTTCCGGCCGACTGGCGCTGCTTCCCGGATTGCGACGGCGACTTGTCCTACCAGCAAACAAGGTGCATGGGCGATTAGACTCCCCCAGTCCCTTTAGTTTCGGTTCCTGTTGTATCTGGTAGCACTTGAAAGGGGATGGAATCTTTCTATACCAGCACACGAGGTAGGAGGTCGAACTCTCCATTCGATAGGAAGTACGTTTGGTAGCTCTTTCATTGTCCGTAGACAATCAGAGGCGACAACTTGCGTTTAATTTGACAGCACAGAAGGTGGGCGGTTGTATTCTGCGGTCGATGTGACGTTCTTTCGAAAGCATCTTTACTCGGCATAACTTTGAAGGCGACAAAGCTGTCTTTTATACTAGCAGACCAGCTGGGCGGCTGAAATTTCCGGTCGCCCACCGTACAAGTTTCAGCTAGCGGCTCCTTTGGTTGGCAGGACCGTTTTTATGACGAAAGACGTCTTTCACCTGCTAACGAATCAAGCGGGCGGTTCTCTACCCCGGTCGCTTATCTCTGTATTGTCAGGGTCACTGTCGATTGTGTTCGCACACGAAGTGTGAAGAAGCAGGACACTTCCGCTCGGCTTGATGCTTACTATTCTCAAACTCTTTGGTGCAACAGACAGCCCATTTTTGAGAATCGAAGCTTGAGCTTCTCTTGGGAGCTGTAACATTCCTTCTGCCCCTACGGCACTCCCTGTTCAAGCGACGACCGTCGTCTATGCAAGCCCCGAAAACCTTGACTCCGTCAATCCGCAGAGTTTCTCTATCGCGGAAAGCATCATCTTTTCCTGGGACGACCTTGCTCTGCAAATCCGGGCCTTTCTTTCCTCGAGGTTTTGTTCTTTTGCCGCGCGCGCGGGATTGACTCGACTCCGTGCGTACACGTGCCCCGTATCATCAACGCAGTAAAGGCCTTTTGCTTTTCAAGAGAGCTAATTGTTCAATAAAAAGTGAAAACAGACTCCGAGAAAAGGCTGCAGATGATCCTACAAGTATTGGTCTTATTTCTTGCAGCGACGGCACTCCGTACGTGCGCCTCACGAACGTCAACGCCGCCTTCAAGGCCTTCTCGTTCACTCTCCCGGGCAGTACCGTGCCGGTAGGGTCCCAACAGCAGGTGTTGTTCTGGGTGCAGCTAGGCCCCGGGGCAAACTCCCAATTCAAGATGGACCTCAACTTTGTCGTCAACGGCGATTACGTGTGCGCAGGCAAGAACCAGCTTTTAACGCTTCAGGATTCAGGACGGTTTGGGCTCAGTGCTCGTCCCACCGTAAATCAGTTCTCAAAGTAGCTTCCTTGCTGGATTGGTGTCAAGAGCCTACAACTTTGTGCAACTGTTGGAACCGAATTTTTTTGTCGTACCTTTTGAATCCAGATACCTGGAGCCCTGAAACCTTACAAATGAGGATTTCACTTTTACTAGTCGGAGGTACCGTTCTGGTTGCTAGGGCGGCGCTGGTCTTCGCTCTCTGCAGGGAACTAGGTTGAAGAGACGCCGATGGACCAATCACACCTCAGCCCCTCGACAGCCAGCTTATCTTTATTTTCTAAGCAGAGGCTTAGATTTCTAGCAAAGGCGAAATTCAAGAAAACCTTTGCATAATCTAAAAAGATGAACGACTGCGACCCGAGGTGTACAATGTACTCATGCAAACTAAAGTTGCAGGTGCCATCCTGATCACCGAGGTTGGCTGCTGGTCTCTGCCGGGTACCAAATTCAGCATTAACTATGATTACCAGACCGGTCGCCGTCCGCCCAGTTCAACCCTTATAAGTGCAAGACTCGTAGAACTTTCAAAGCCCTGAAAGACGTACGTGATATTTCTGCAGGTGCCGTCCTCATTGCAAAGCTTGGCTGCCGCTCCATGCTCTCCGCGTGGCACCAGTTCCGAGCGATGCCTAATCACAGCGTCGACGTCCACGTCAAAAGCCCTCACCCTAAAACCTGTAGGGACTTGGAAGCCTTGCGTATTAAAGCGGCGCCTTTAATTTTCCTTTCTGCAGGTGCCGTCCTGATTGCAAAGGTGGGCTGCTGGTCTCTGCTTTCCTCGGGTTACCAAATCCAAGCGGTGCCTAACAGAGTAGACGTCCGTCTGCAAGGCGTTACCAACCAGGACATCTGGCTGCACGCCGTGTCCATTATCTCCGTGCCCAAGAACCTGTACCTCAACGATTTGGCTGCTCGGACTGCTGCGGTAAGTGCTAGCTTAACCGGTCGGTTAAAACTCGTTCCGCATCCTGGTCAAACTTTCCATTGGTCAACTGGTAGAAAGATAGCCGCACGCCGTGTCCATTTTTTCCGTGCCCAAGAACTTTTACCTCAACGACTTGGCCGCCCGCACTGCTGCGGTAAGTGCTAACCAAGCCCATTAATGTCCATTTCGCATCCTGTTTAAACAGTCTATTGGTTCCTTGGTATAACCGTGTCCATTACGTCCGTGCCAGGATAAAGACCCAGAGTCAAGACTGGAATTGTCTGGCCGCCCCCAAATCCCCAGCTCTCTGAGCCCAATAACAGCCGTTGGCGCCAAATCCTTCACAACTCAAGGCTCTCATTTCGATCCTCCTTCTGCAGATCCGCAAGACTGACGTCAGCGTCCAGGTCGTTGACGCCAGCAACAATCCGGTGCCTGGCGCCTCCGTCCAGATCACCCAGACGCGGACCTCCTTTCCCTTCGGAGGCTCACTTGAAGCCGTGGTCCTGACGTCCACGCCTTATGCAAACTACTTCAAGTCACTGTTCAACCACGCTGGTGAGTAGTATGCACGGAGAGCTTTTTCCCGGTCCAAGCTTATTTTCCAGGTAGTAAGGTGTTAACTCTCAGAACCCTTCCAGCTTGTTGAATCATTCCTCCCAAACTGGTTTTGAAACTGCTGGTTGCGAAAGTGGTGATCAGAGTCGACGAAATGTTATCCCGTGCGCAGCTTTCTACTAGAAAACAGAGGACGGATCGTAAAGCCGCAGACATCTGTCCTTTCCATTTCTGTCTTCAATTAGGTCTTCATTGTTGTCGTCATTTCAACCGAACGCGTCATATTCTCCCGCAGTCTTCGAGAACGAGATGAAGTGGTATTCCACCGACCCCAACGGCCCCACGTTCGACTATTCCGTTCCAGACGCCATGCTCGATTTTTGCAACCGGAACAACATCCCCGTGCGTGGCCACAACATCTTCTGGGACGTCGCGGAGGTGATCCAGGTCAGCTCCCCGGTCTTAACTCTGTCGGGATGGGTTCATACAGAATCGAGCTTCAATGGGTGAACCTCGGTGGAGATTGGTGCTTACTTCAAGGTCGGAGTGGGCTTCAGATGGGAGAAGCCTGCTAGGGGACGAACTTGGCTGTATGCAGCTTCGAGCAGTGGCTTCCGGTCGGCTCGGATCGAAGTGGGCTCTGAATCCAGCTTCAGACGGTGGCTTTCGGTTGGAAGAAGCGCAGAATCAAACTTCAAACGGTGTTTATGGGCATGGCTACAAGTTCTGGTTGGAATGAGCGCAGAATCCATGTTCGAACGGTGTTTTATTGGGCAGACTGCGCTCTGAATCCAGCTTCGGAGAACGGTCTCTAACGCTGTTTACAAAGAGCTCAGGGCATGCACTTCTACGTTGAGCAATGTCCATGGCGCTGGGGCCCATATCGGCCAAACTGTACGAGTTGATTTGGTCTGCCGGAAGGAAGTCCGAATCCACTGAGCAAGCCTTTCTTGATTGTGCAGCCTTGGGTTGCCGGTCTGAGTACCGCCGGAGGCATTCCGGGGAGCGATCTGTACAAGGCAATGGTGGCTCGGCTTCAAAGCATTGTGTCGCACTACAAGGGACGGGTAAGTCCACTTGAAAGGCACGGGGAGGTTTCCCGCTTGACGAGGTTCTTTCACGGGACCGGTACTTAACCAACTCTCAAATTTGTCGCGTACGTAAGTGCTCACGGAAGTGCCACTGCTAAAATGAGGGATGTGATTCAGCTCACCACGCAGTCTAGAAGTATTTGTCAGAAAAGTGGCGGAATAGCGCATGCTGTTTTCGAGGTGTTTCCCGGTGACTCAACAAGCTGTCACGCCAGATTGGCTCCTTGCCATAGCACATCCTGAGCGTGCGCGCGCGCGCATCGCGCCGCCGCCGCCACAGGCTCATAGCCTATGCACGGCCATAGCCTATTCATGTTGGACCCTTCGTTTATTGGGGTCC